CCTACAACTAGAAGTCCAAGATAGTCCGTGCTCCGCTGCGTTACCCTGCCTGCCCGCGCAGGACGGTGTTCCTTACACTGGCTTCCTTCACCATCACGAGAAATCTGCCACATGGGCTGGGGGCACATGTGCCTGCATTTAGGGCCAACAGGAGAAAGAAACCTCTGCTCCTCATAGAATCAACATCCTTCCCCCACTTCAGTCTGATTGGACCGACCTGTGGGCTAATGACAATCACCAGGGTGATGCCGGGTATTGATTAGCAGAAGCCTTGGCTCTTGAGCCAATTACTGTCAAGAAGGATGGTTGTGTTGTGATTGGCCTAGATCTGGGATGAAGTTAGCTTCCTCCAAGTCATCTGGACTCTGTAGGGGAGGGGTGGATACTGGAACAAAATGGACGTTCTTTAGAAAGCGGGGGGCAGGGGTGGCTCAATCCGTTATGTGTCTGCCTTTGGCTCAGGTCATAATGCCAGGGTCCTGGGATCAGGCTCCCTGCTCGGTGGGAAGCCTGCTTCTCCCTCAGCCTGCTACTCTGCGTCTCTCTCCCTCTGTCAAATAAATAAATAAAATCTTTAATAAAAAAATTTAAAAATGTTTTAGAAAGTGGGTGGCGGGGAGGCATGGATTCTGTGAAAACAACCCACGGGGCTCGCAGAGCAACCGGATGAAGGTGTGAAAAATCAAGCTGACCGAGGACATGCAAAAGGATTGCTGCGCATCACTGAAGCGTCGTCTGAGGCGGACTGGAGATTGCAAGTCGTAGCACAGACCCTGCTGGTGTAGACTTTAGCAGGGGTCCCGCCCAGGACTTCACTAGCCATGTGGATGACTGAAGACTTAAACTCTAGTTGGTTTTAGGAGCCTGGCCCTGGAAGAGCCCCTGCTCATCCCCGTGGGCAGGAAGGCATCTGCCCCTCCCCTTTCCTCAGGAAGATGAACACCTGACATCTGAAATGGAAACCTACTGGTGTGTGTGGCCTCCAGGTCCTCAGAGCCACAGGCTGGGCAGCCCAGCGGGGACCCCGGTCCAGAACAAATGGAGGCAGCATCGCGAGGAGGAGTGCACGGCAAGGGCCGGAGGCTGCGGCCAGCAGGACTTGGCTGCAGCGTGGATGGACCAGCGATGCTGAGCAGGTGGAAGAAGAAGGGATGCTTCAGTGAGGTGAAGGGGGAGGGACGGCAGCCTTGCCTGGCCGCCGCCAGGGCTCTCTCCTCGGTGCCGCTGCGTGCATGGCAGTGATGCAGCCCATTTCACTGTTGCGTGGCGTTCCATTGTACGAATGTGCCACTATTTGTTTGCCCGTTCACCTGATGGGTAAGTACGTTATCCATTTGAGTTATCGCCCATGTTAAGCTACTTCAAATCGGTGTACAACTCTTCTTTTTCTTTCTTTCTTTTTTTTTTTTTAAAGATTTTATTTATTTATTTGACAGAGACAGAGACAGCGAGAGAGGGAACACAAGCAGGGGGAGTGGGAGAGGGAGAAGCAGGCTCCCCGTGAGCAAGGAGCCCGATGCGGGGCTCGACCCCAGGACCCTGGGATCGTGACCTGAGCCGAAGGCAGACGCTTAACGACTGAGCCACCCAGGTGCCCCGGTGTACAACTCTTTATGGATTTCTCTTGAGTAAATGCCTGGGAGTAAAATGGCTAGGACATATGAAGTGTATGTTTAAGTTTTTAAGAAACCACCAGATTGTTTTACGAAGTGATGATATCATTGTACATCGCCACCAGAGTGCATGAAAGCTTTGCTGCCCCCCCTTCCTCACTAGCACTTGGTGTCGTCAGTTTTTCATCTTAGACATTCTAATAGGAACGTAGCATTAGCTTGTCATGGTTTGAATTTGCTTTTCCCTAATGGCTAATGATGCGGACGGAGCATCTTGATGGACTTATTTGGCATCTCCATATCTTCCTTGATGAAGTATCTGTTCAAATACTTTGCCCATTTAAAAAATAAATTTGTTTTTTGGGGATGCCTGGGTGGCTCAGTCGGTTAAGCATCTGCTTTGGCTCAGGTCATGATCTCAGGGTCCTGGAATCGAGTCTCGCATCGGGCTCCCTTCTCAGCCTGGAGCCTGCTCTCCCTTTGACTTCTGCTCCCCCTGCTTGTGCTCTCTCGTGCTCTCTCTCTGACAAATAAATGAATAAAATATTTTAAAAAATAAAAAATAAAGCTGTTTTCTTATTTTTGAATTTTGAGAGCTCTTTAGGTATTCTAGATACATCCTTTATCAGATCTCTGGTTTGCAAATGTGTGCTCTCAGTCTGTGGCTCAGCTTTTCATTCTCTTCAGTGTTTCTCAAAGAGCAGAAGTTCTTAATTTTGACAAAGTCCAATTTGTCAATTTTTGCTTTTATAGATTGTTTTTGATGTATCTAAGAAATCTTTGCCTAACCCAAGGCCACACATTTTCTCCTTTGTTTTCTTCTAGAAGTTTTGGAGTTTTAGGTTTTACATTTAGATCTATGATCCATTCTGAGTTTCATTTTTATGCATGGTGTGAGGTAGGGATTGAAGGTCTCTTGTACACACTCTTTTTTAATGTGGGTGTTCTACTGTTACTGAACCATTTGTCAAAAAGACTATGCATCCTTCAATGAATTTTCTTTGCACCTTTGTCAAAAACCAACTGACTGTAAGGGCACCTGGGTGGCTCAGTCAGTTGGGCGTCTGACTTTGGCTCAGGTCATGATCCCGGGGTCCTGGGATCGAGCCCTACATCGGGCTCCCTGCTCAGCGGAGAACCTGCTTCTCCCTCTCCCTCTGCTGCTCCCCCGTTTGTGCTCTCTCTCTCTCTAATTTATTAGAGAGAGAGAGAGTGAGAGAGAGAGAGAGCATGAACAGGGTGGGGGGCAGAGGGAGAAGCAGACTCCCTGCTAGACGCAGAACCCAATGCAGGGCTTGATCCTGGGACCCCGAAATCATGACCTGAGCAGAAGGCAGACACTTAACCACCCAGGCACCCCAACTGCCAGTTTTATTTATTTTTTTAAGATTTTATTTATTTATTTTTTTTACGGAGAGAGAGCAAGCACAAGCAGGGGGAACAGCAAGCAGAGGGAGAAGGTTTCCCGCTGAGCAGGGAGCCAGATGTGGGGCTCGATCCCAGGACCCTGGGATCATGACCTGAGCTGAAGGCAGACGCTTAACCGACTGAGCCACCCAGGCGCCTCAACTGCCAGTTTTATTTTAATGTGGACAGTGAAAGAGATAGATGACTATCACTGCCTTTGCAGTTTTCTGTAAGTCTAAAACTACTCCAAAATATAAAGTTTAGAGAGAGATTGAGATTGATTTGGAACTTGCCCATGAGCATTGAAGCTTCCCATAGCCCTTACCGAGACCACAGGATTTTCTGCAGGGGGTCTCAGCAGACGTGTGGAGGAGTGGAGAGGCGGCTGGCTGGGTTGATGTGAGGGGGCATTTGGATTAGGGTCAGGTCTCCCGCTCCTACCGTTTCTAGTCCCCGGAGCATCTGGAGCATCTGTCTCTGCCATGGGTGCAAACCCAAAGCTTCCTTCTCTTTCTGCTCTTGGGCTTGCAGCTCATTCCCCCCTGCCTCCCCAGTTCCTCTTTGCCAAGGCGTGGGAGTGTGGGCACAGGGAAGTAGGGCTGGAGGGACATGTGAACTAAGAGAGGGGTGGATATTCAGGTGACTGAGGGGAAGGCCCAGTCATTAGAAGTCTTTTTTATGTGAGGCAGACTCCATAATCTACCACTACAGGTCCTGGGACTCTGACTGAGATAGAAAACGGGCTGGTGAAGTTCCAGTTCCTCCTCTCTCCTAGCAGTTGTGAGCGAAGACCATCTAGAGAGGAGTCGTCTCTGTCCCTCTGTCCACGTCCTGGCGCTGTTGTTGCCCTTGGCAGCCTAGGAGCTTCCCAAGGGCAGGGACTGGCGCTTGGGGCCCTACGGAAGGTGAAAGAAATGCCTAAAGGGTTTTGGGATGTTGTGGAGAGAGACAGATTCGAGGAGTCAAGAGACTTTTATCTCAGGGTGCCTGAGTGGCTCAGATGGTTAAGCATCTGCCTTCGGCTCAGGTCATGATCCCGGCGTCCTGGGATCGAGTCCCGCATCCTGCTCCCTGCTCCTTGGGAGCCTGCTTCTCCTCTGCCTCTCTCTGTTTGTCTCTCATGAATTAAAAAAAAAAAAAAAAGAGAGACTTTTATCTCAGATCTTGACTCTGCCACCGTTTCTCTTGTGGCCTTGACTAGTCACTTTCTCTCCTTATAAAAAGAGAAGTTGAACTAGATGATCTTAGAGATCCCAACCATTTCAAAAAGTGTATTAGACTTTATGAGAAAACCATATATTTGTTTTTGTCTCCCCAGCATCTAGCACAGTGCCTGGCACATAATAAGGGTTCAAGAAATGCTGTGGTTAGTGAATGAATGAATGGATGGATGAATGAACACATGAACTAACAAAATAGTAGAAAAAGAAAAGGATCCAAAGTGGCATTCTTAGACGAGCCAGCTGGTGGCATCACCTCTCTGCATAACCACAGGGGTGCTGCTAGTTTCAGACCAAGGGAAGGATTCTGTTTAGAAATGAATACAGGTAACAAGAACCTGATATTTCCCATGGAGAGCAGGACGCTGGAATCCTGACCCAGCTCCTGTATTCGACAGATATCTTCACTGCCAGACTGGCAAGGTGGTGCTGGAAGAGGACGCACGGCCCCGACAGACAGACGGACTGACACGAAGCACACAGGAACAGCCCCACCTGGGGGGCTCCCCTGCACTGGGACGGGGCTTCTGCCTTCTGCCACCCACTTCATACCCATCCCTTGCCGGAAGACCCAAACATCTGGGCACCCAGTCTGGGTCTCTCCTATCGGGTTCCTCAAACCCGTGGCTGGTTGTCTGTCCTGAAGGCCCCTCTCCTCCCCCAGCGCTCCGAGGGAGTTGAAGATCAGGCTTCTTAATGAGCAGGCAGCCGGTAGGAAGGTCTTGAGTATTGAAAAAGTCCCTCTCTCTTATCTACTCACCTCCCGCCTCCTCTTTTCCCCCATCCCAGCACATTCTGTAAAGGGTAAGGATCTGGGCACAAACGGGGAAGACCCGGTGAGGCCTTTTTTCCAGTTAGGACTGAGATCACAGGGAGACAGGATGAGGTGTGGTGAGGGTGTACCTCAGCACCCACACCTCTGACGTGAGCTCGGGGATCGGAGGAGAGGGTGGGGGCGCTGCTGGCCTCTGGCTCCACAGACGAGAGCAGGAAAGGGTGAAATGGCAGGGGGGCGGTGGGGGACGGCAGGACCACTTCATACTTAGGAGTGGAGCTGAGGGCAGGCCACTCAGGTCCCCACAAGTTGTGCTCCCAGGGGGGAGAACAGGAAGCTGTGACTTCCTCTGCCCTTTCCCTCCCAGCCCTTAGCCTCAAGGTCACTTGCTGCAGTGAATTCTGACCTGTGTTTGAGTTGGCACGCTTCCACGGGCATGGTGACAATAGACAGCTGTGTGATGCCCGGCTCCTTTCTGCAATGGACACCCCAAACTTTAAATAATAGTCGTTCATGCAAATAGCAACATACAAAGTGCTTTTTTCACATGTTTTATTTATTTTTTTAAAGATTTTATTCATTTATTTGAGAGAAAGAGAGCACAAGCAGGGTGGGGGCACGGGGGGGGAAGGGCAGAGGCAGAGGGAGAAGCAGGCTTCCCGCTGAGCAGGGAGCCCGAAATTGGGCTCGATCCCGGGACCCCGGGATCATGACCTGAGCAGAAGGCAGACTGAACCACCCAGGCGCCCCTCACATGTTTCATCTCATTTAATCACACCAATCCTGTGGAGCAGAGACTTTTGTCTGAAAAAAATTTTTTTTAAGATTTTATTTATTTATTTGACACAGAGAGAGAGAGCACAGATAGAGTGGCAGGCAGAGGCAGAGGGAGAAGCAGGCTCTCCGCTGAGCAGGGAGCCCGATGCGGGGCTTGATCCCAGGACCCTGGGGTCATGACCTGAGCCCAAGGCAGACGCTTAACCGACTGAGCCACTCAGGCGCCCCTTTTGCCCGCAATTTTTACCAAGAAAGCTGAGGCTCGGAGGAGTAATTTACCAAAGCCACACATTTAGTGAGGAGCAGACCTGGGACTCCGGAATCTCTGCTCTCTCGGACAGCCGTCCGCATTCCAGGCCCCCGTGTCCCCCGACCCCTGCCCCCAGGCCCCAGGGGAGCACTTTCTGCAGAGAAGGGGGCCTCTGTGTGCAGTCAGGAAAAGAGGGGGCTCCAGTTTGGTTGCATCGCTCAGACGGACGGGGTACCTCTGGCCTTCTGCCTGCGTGGAGGCTTGGGACTGCCGTCCACAGTGCACAACTCCCCCTCGCCCCCTCCAGCTCTGCCCGCTAGAGCCCTTCCTGCACCCCGGGGGCGCACACGCCCGCGCCCTGTCACCCCGGCCCCGTGGGAGGCGCCCAGACACCAGCTCTCATGCCGCCTGGCGGCGTCCGTGCCCCGCTGCCCGCGGTCTGGGGCAACGCCTGGGAGATGGTGTGCGGAGTGCCAGCAACGGCATGCCCGTCCCGTCCGTCCGTAGCCCTGAGGGTGGCGGGCGCCCTGCCGGCGGGCTTGTGGGGGCGGCCGGCTTGCTGGAGAACCTGGCCATGCTCCGGCTGCTGGGCAGCTGCGCTCCGGGAGCTCCCGGCTCGGGCAGGCAGAGGGCCCGGCCCTCACTGTCCCCCTCTGGGCAGCTGCGCCCACGCGGGACTCCCCCGGCTCCTCGGAGGTGCCCTCCGCGACGTGGCGCTGAGGGCCAGCATCCTCCCCGTCCACGCCGGCGTCGTCCTCACTCCGGCTGAGTGTTGCCGGATACCGGCCGCGCCGCAGGACCAGACAGCCACCTGTCTTCCGGGCCTGCGTGGCCACCCCGGCCGTGTGGGCGGGTGGGCGCTGTCTTTGGGGCCCAGGGTGAGGTGTGGGCCATGCGCTTTCCCCGGCAGGTGCAACCGCAGAGGACGGCACTGGCCCTCACGGCGCCCCTGGGCGCCATCCCACCACCCGCGGCTGGCCTCCGTGGCCCGCTCTGTCTACCCCGGAGGCCTCCTCCTCCCTCCGCGGCTCCCCAGCCATGTGGTCACTGGCTGGAGCGTCCTGGTGACCTTTGACCGGATGCCCTGCGATAGCATCTTTCTCCACCACCCATAGCTTCGTCTCCCCTGTCACCACCTGCCCGGGGCACAGCAAGAGCTGCCTCAGCCCCGTGCCATCCTGACTCCTGAGGCAGGAGCCTGACGGGCCCCGGCAGACACCTTCAAGAGTCAGCGAGCCAGCCTGTGGGACTGGTGGCCCCGAGGGACAGAGGCAGGCGGCGGGTGGAGCGCGCACTCCCGCTCTGGCAGAGGGGCCCTCGGACCGCGGCCACCGACTGGGACAAACGGACACCTGGGTGAAGGGTGCTGAACACCCTCCTCCTCTTCCTGGGCTCCGCTGGGGCGGAAGCATTCACCACGGGGAGAGCCAGCCTGGGCCCCTGCGCCCTCGGGGAGGCTGGTCTTTGATCCCCTGCGGGGGTGGCGGGATGCGGCTGGAGGGTCACCTGGGGTCTGAGTATGACAGAGCTCAGGTCTTCGTGCATGGGGAGGAATGCATGGCAATAGCGAAAAGGCAGAGGATTGGAGAATAAGCCTCTGGATCATCACAGTTGTCTTGACCTCCTGTCACGCTTCCACCTCCGGTTCAGTGTGGACAGAAGGATTCTTTGCCCCATTTCTGCCTCCTGTGAGAATTTCCCAAGGGTTCTAGACTAACGGATCAGAGGCCAGTGCCTATTTCCCTCTGTCTGTCCTCCCACACACCCCTACCTGCACCTTAAACAGGTGTTCCTTGTTCTCTGGTGCCAGAGCCAAACACCCCCCACCCCCCACCCCCCACCGGCCATCTCTGCCTTCCAGCATCTCAGTGGTGCCCGTGGAAACCTGGTGCCTGCAGACCTCAGCTGAGAAGGCTGGAGCCTCCTGCAGGGAGAAGCCCCCTGTGAGGCGCTGCTGGACCCCTGGCATCGGCCCAGCCGATGTGGAAAGTGTAAGAACCACCTATCCTTTAACCAGGATTTGCAGGGAGAAGTGGAGAGAAGTCAAGGATGTGGGTGGGGCATAGGGAGGTGAGAGGTGGGGAAGGGGGAGGAGAAGAGGGGCCTCAGGTGTGTCCAGAGAAGTGGGAACCGGAGTGGGAGACTGGTGCGAGTGTCCCTCCCTGTCGCGCAGTGCAGATCAGGAACACCTGATTCACATCCTAGCTCCGACACGAACCAGTGGAGGACCTCGGCAAGTTACTTCTCTCTACTGGTTTTCTGATCTGTAAAATGGGGTGTTGAGGATTCAGCAGTGCCTGAAGTAGCGTGTTGGCTATTGCTCTTTTTTTTTTAATTTAAGATTTTATTTATTTATTTGAGAGAGAGAGAATGAGAGACAGAGAGCATGAGAGGGAGGAGGGTCAGAGGGAGAAGCAGACTCCCCGCCGAGCAGGGAGCCCGATGCGGGACTCGATCCCGGGACTCCAGGATCATGACCTGAGCCGAAGGCAGTCGCTTAACCAACTGAGCCACCCAGGCGCCCTTGGCTATTGCTCTTAACACTTCATGGAAAATGGAATCTGAGAGAAGGAAGAGGAGGAAAAGAAAGGGAGGGAAGAGGGGGCAGCTGGGAGATGGGGACCGGGAGCCAGAGAGGTCTCATCTGGGATGATGTTCACGTACTCTGGAGTGAAATGAAAGTTGTACGTCAAGACCTGAGTGAGGGATTGGCCCCTCCAGTCCCTTCTGAGGAGCGTTCTCCAGGGCAGTGGGTCTGCCTTTGGTTTCCATATCCATGGAGACCCAGTCAGAAGGGGGGCCAGCCCCTGGAAAGGAGGGAGGTGGCAGAAGCTAGACATGGTGGAGCTCCCACTTCCGTTGCCCCCATCACCGCCAAGCCAACCACTCTGGCCTCTCAAGGGCCCAGAGCAAAGCTGGGAGCACGCCCTTGGCAGGCCCCCTCTGCACTAGCTCCATCCCGTTGCTGAGCAGGAGACTCCCAACAGCCGCCCGTTTCACAACACATTAAGCAATGTTAAGGAGACCTAATTAGCTTCTTGATGTTTAATTTCCTCCCTTTCGTGTTTAAACTTGTTCTAAAACTCCAGGTCTCTTCCCAGTCAATTCAGGATGGAAAATCCTCCCATCTAAGTACCCCTCTCTCGCCACCCCTGCAACTCCTCTGAGGGCTCCCCTGGGGGCATCTCTGCTCACGGGGCCTGGAGGTAAATACTAACGGAGTTGCAACAGGCCCAAGTCCTAGGGGAGTGACTGCGTGCGCACCTACCATCGGATGGGGTGGGGTGGGAGGGGCAGGGGAGGTGCGGCACAGGACTGGGCAGGCGGCTGGGCACTCCTTGGAGGGGAAGGCAAGCACCGCGGTGAAGCTGGGCCCTGGCTCCCTGCGGCAAGCAGCCAGACAGCTTTGAAAGCGCAGTGGGAAGGATCGAGGCTAAGACTGGGTTTCTGAAGGGCTTAGCGAGGGCACAGTGCCAGAATGGGGAAAACTGCGAGAGACTCATGTCCAGAAAGAGCCACGTCAGAAGAAGGTGGGCAGCATGTCTCGGGGTCGAGGAGTGGCAGAGGGACAGTGCTGGGGATACATCAGTGCTGTCCCCGTGAGCTGTGGGCTTCTCCACACCCGCCCTGGGCTCTGTGTCTCCAGGTTCCCGCGTCTCTCCTGACCGGCATCCTTCACCAGATCTGTGACCACGTTGGGGGAGCCTGCATTCCCCTTTCTTGGTCTGAGTGCTCGACTCACCCACCCACACGGTGGTCCTCTCTCCACTCCACCCTGGAGGGGGTCTCAGCTTCCAGCTGACGTGGCAGACAGCTGCCGAGCCACATGTCCGTGAGCTGGACGCTCGGTGCTCCGGAGGGAAGTGGAGGCCGGCGCCTGCCTGGCTCGGCTACCCTGGCCGGGCAGCCTTCCCGATCCGTACCGGCCCACCGCCCAGACCCGGTAATGGATGAGAAAGCACCTGCCGAAGGCCGGATGCCATGGGCGGGTACAGGAGGGAGGTGCGGGCGGTCCCCAAGCCCGTTCCCCGGCTGATTGCAGTTCCTCTCCCCCGTGGAGGTGTGTGTGTGCACGAGTGTGGACCGCGTGGCCGCCCTCCCTCTTCCCCTCCCCCAGCCGCAGGGGGGTAGTAACCAGAAACAGGAAGTGAAATGAAGCAAAACCAAGAACTGAAACCGCCCTAATCTCTCACCCAGGGCCCCTGGAAGAGGCTGCCCCAGGGCTCTGACACTAAAGACCGAGGGCAGAGTGGGGTCTGAATCTGAAAATGAAGGACTCTGGGGAGAGGCCAGCAGGAACTGGGCCCACAGGGGAGGGGAGGGGGCCACCGCTGACGCCATTTCTGAGCAGGGCATGCAAATGAGGCCGAGACCAGTTTTCTAATTCTGGACTCCCCAGCAGCCCCTGGAACCTAAGTGACCTTCATTTTGGTCCCTGGATCTGTGGACATCGGCGCCAACAAGAAGGGCTCGAGGCACTTTCTTCTGGGAGGGGCCTGCGTTGGGGGAGGCGGCCTGTTCCTCCCTTGGGGGCGACAGGTCCAGCCCGTAGGGCAGGCAGGGCAGGCAGACATCGAGACAGCACTTCGTGGGGGTCCAGGTCTTTAATTTTCCCTGCTTTATCTTTTCTTTTCTTTTTTTTTTCTTAAACAATCAAATGGGCAGAAAATGGCTGGGGCTGGTGGGCACTGGGGGGCCACTGGAAAACCCCCCAATTCACGCTGAGGCTTCAGTCATGGTTGCTGAGGTGGGGATGAGGTCAAGGTTCACAGAGATTTCCCAACTCACCCTACAACATGTTTTCCAAACGGCTGGAGGAGAGGTCAGAGTAGGTCCCCCGTTACTGCAGATGAGGGGACGCCGTTCCCCCCCCCCACCCCTCAAGCTCTTCTGATAAGCAGAAATAGAAGGCTGTGATTTCTAATTGCCTACAATCATCTCTTAAAAATACAAAACACGTGCAGCTGGCTTTGGTACAAAAAAGAAAACAACAACAAAAAACATTCTGGTCCCGTGGGCTTTCCCCTCACCCCCCAACAGAGCCATCGTGGCCCCCTCGACCTCTACTCCATTGCCTCCGACTCCGGGGAGCCAGGCTGTCTCCCTGGGCTCTCCAGCGAGGATGGAGAGAAGGGAGAACAGCAGTTAGCGGGGGAGGGGAGGGGGCACGGCCGCCCACAGCCCTTCCGGAAGGGTCTGGCGGCGCAGCAGCCTCTCCCCAAAGACGGTGTTGCTGGGGAGGCGCGTCGGGGCTAGAACCCAGCGGCCGCGGGGTTAAGCCTGATAAACCCCAGTAGTGTTACAGGACAAGGCCCCCGATCCCTATGGCTTGGTTCCCGTGTCCCTGGTCCTCTAAATCTCCCCACTCCCTGTGTAACTAATAAACAATAAATAAATAAATTTTCCTAAAGTAGAGGGAAGAAGGCATGAAAACGTGGCATCTGCGGTGTAGCTCCCGGATGCCAGCAGGGGGCACTGTGGCCCAAGCCCTGCAGCTTCCCGGGGGCCGCAGGTGTCCGAGGAGCCCAAGAGCTGGCAGGGGGTCAGCAGTTCTTTTGAATGTGCCCTCGCCATTGGCAGGTTGCAGTCCCCAAGGTCCGCGTCCCTCGCTGTGTTCTTCCTGGGGGCACCGGACGGGGCAGGGGCCCCCTTAGCTCTCTGAAGCCACAGGCTCCCCGTCGCGACTCTCGATCTCTTCCGGGATGTCCTGCATTCGGGTGAAGTCTGAGGGGGGACGGGCAGAGTTAGCGGGACGGCACAGGCTCCCCCGGGCAGCTGCACCCCTGCGCCAAGAGGACCCCATGGCGGCCCAAGCGGCGAGGCGGCGGGGCAGGCCCGACCGCAGAGCGAGGCCCGCGCCCACACCTGCCTGCTCTGGATCCTCCCGACGACAGAAGGTACCCTGCGGCTAGGAACATACAAAACGTAAGTCACACTAGCTTTTGGTTATTTTGTATTTCTTGAATCTACTGTAAGAACGCTGACAGTCTTAAAAGTTTCTCTTCCTTAGAAATCTACGTTTAGGGGCCCCTGGGGGGCTCAGTCGTTAAGCGTCTGCCCTCGGCTCAGGTCATGGTCCCAGGCTCCGGGGATCGAGCCCCGCATCGGGCCCCCTGCTCGCGGGGAGCCTGCTTCGCCCTCTGCCTCTGCCTCTGCCGCTCGCCCTGCTTGTGCTCGCTCGCTCGCTCGCTCGCTGACAAATGAAATCTTAAAAAAACCCGGCATCTACTTGCCAAGGTTGGCATCACAGACTTACTGGAGCGGCTCCCACATTCTTTGCTTCCCGCAGCGCTCGGCTGCCCGCTCAGCTCCGGAAGAGGCAGGACGTGCGCCCTGCGTGCCCCGCGCCAGACTTACAGGTTCCGTAGCCCTCGGCGGTGACTGCGGCCCCCCAAGTGCCCCCCGCACCAGCACACACGGCCGCGGGCGGCAGCCCACGTGCACGGGCGCCTCACCTCGCGGACTGTGGGGCGGGGACAGGCGGCTGCCCCCCTCCTCCTCGCTGCCCGTGTCCGCGTCGCTGCTGTCCTGCAGCCGCTCGTCGGGGCTGCCCAGCTCCTGTCTGTCTCGGTCCTCAAAGGGTCGGTGGACAGAGCGAATGGTCACAGACAAATCCAGGCGGTCGTGGCCTCGGCTGGGCTGTGACGGGCCGGCGGGAAAGGCAGCGGGCCAGGCAGTGAGCTGGGCCGGGCGCCCCGCCGCCGGCCCTGCCCGCTCTGCAGCCGCAGCCTGGCGCCCCGGGCCAAAGCCCCGCCGCCGCCGCCCGCCCGCCGGCCCGCCGGCCTCGCGCCCTCCCGGCTCGGCGCCCCCGGGCTTCCTTACCTGCGGGGGCGTGAAGCTCAGGTACAGGGCGTCGCCCGCGGGGAGGCTGCGGCGCCGCGGGTCCAGGGGCCTGCGGGCCCAGGGGGCCTCGGCCGGGGGCGGCTCGCTCTGGCCCAGGGCGGCCAGCTGCCTGCGGGCCTCGTCGGCCTCCCGCTCCAGCCGGGCGCGGGCCTGCTCGCTCTCGCGCAGCCGCGCCTCCAGGCTGCCCGCCTCGGTGGCGCGCTCCTCGCCCAGCCGCCGGCAGCGCCGCAGCTCCTCCTGCAGCAGAGCGTGCTGCCGCTGCAGCAGCGCCAGCTCGGTGGCCTGCTTGTCCGGCGCCGCGGGGGCGGGCCCGGCTCGGCCGGCCTCTCCGTCCCGCGAGTTGGCAGAGTTGGCGCGGGCCAGCTTCTCCCGCCGCTCGGCGCCCTCGGGGAGCCGCGCTTCCACCAGCGTGTCCTGCTGCGCCACGGCCGCCTGGGGGCGTAAGGGGCCCCGACGGGCGTATCGGAACCCGGCTCCCGGGAGCTCCGGCGGGGAGGGCCCCGACGGCGCGAGAACAGGCCGCCCCGCTCGCTCCTCCCCTGCCCATGCTGGCGCCGGCCCCGCTGACCTGGAGGCCGTGCAGAAGTCCGTAGAGATTGACCAACCGCTGTAACGCCTCCTGAGGACAGAGGAGAGGGTGGGGACAGGGCCCAAGCCTCAGGATGGGAGAGCTGCCCAAGGTGACCAGAGGTGGGTCCAGACACTCTCAGACGTCGACTCGCCCGACACCACCCCTCCACACCGGGCCGATTTCTCAGCCACAACACCCTCCCTCTCATTCGGCTACACCAGCGGGTCCCCACCTCACCTCCTGGGGGGCTCTCAGCTGATTTCCATTCCGGTCCTGCAGAGAGAGGCAAGGATGGGGGAGTCGCAGGCGCCCGTCCCCCACAGCTCTGTGTCAGGGGTCCACAGGCCAGCTGCCCCTTCCCGCCCTCTCGCCAGCCCTGGTACCTCTTGCAGACCCACCTTCTGGCTGGAGTCTGAGTCGGTTCTGCAGAGCTCAATCGAGCCATTGAAGGTTCTGGGCTCACCATCTGTGGAGAAGGGAAAGGACAGGCTGAGCTCACGTCCTCAGGGCCTGGCCCCTCCCTCCCACCCACCACCGTGGCCCCAGCCCAGGCACTCACTGGCAGTGACCCCAGGACTCGTGCTACCGCCGCCATCCTGGTCCACGGGCAAGGCTGGTTCCCGGGGTGTCAGGAGCAGTTCTACTCCAGGCCCCACCAGGAGGTCTTTCAGACCCTCCACTACGGGGAAGGGGGGGAGGTAAGCCCAGGAGCCACAAGGAACCCTGCAGGGAACGGCAGGGCGCCTTCCACCCAAGGCACGCGTAACAGTCAGGCGCCCAGGGGCCCTCACTCATACCACCGCCCACAGGGCAGAGGTCACTGAAGGGCGCCGAAGGGGCAGCACAAACGTATGCAGGACAAGGCGTCAAACAGTAGCAAGGACTGTGCCTCCCCCGCCCTCCCCCCACCTTCCCCACACCTGGCGCCCCAGGGAGTGTATGGACACTGGGGCTGTGTGTGTCCACGTGTAGTCACGTGTCCCTATTCTGTGAGGCCAAGTGGATGGCCCTGGACTCCTCCCTCGGGGCTCCCTCACCCTCACGGATGGCATCCTGCAGCAGCCGCTCGCCACGGGGGGACTCCAGGGACTCGGAGCGGAAAAGGCCCCTGGGTAGGGCGGGCAGGGTCAACCCACCACCATCCTCCTCCACCTGGAAATGGGTCATTTCGGCGAACAGCCCGACCTTCTCCTGCAGCAGCTCAACCAGGGCCTGGTCTTTCTGTTGCAGCTCCACTGTGGATACGGAACAGGTGAGCACACGGTGGGGGCGGGGGGAGGCAGGGCGGTGTTATGGGGGGGCGCAGCCAGAGAGCCGTGCTGGAAGGGTGGCCCAAGGGCCTGGCGGCCACGGCTGCACTCAACATAGTACTTAATTCTGGATTTCTGGCATTTACAAAAAAGAAAACACTTTTTTGGGGAAAAGTAATACATGAACTTTCTTTTTTTTTAAGTAGGCTCCATGCCCAACATGGGGCTCAAACGCATGACCCCGAGATCAAGAGTCACAGGCTCTACTCACGGAGCCAGCCAGGCGCCCCTGGACTTTTATTTTAAAAGCAAAACTAACATGATCTGTGGCCAGAACTGCAGATGCCCACCACTTTCATTCTCCCATCTTCCTTTAATTGGAGAGTCCCTACAAATTTCATCTGGGCATGTGGCTGCCCAATTAAACCTGACCTGCAGCCAGACATTGCCATGGGACTAAACTGTGGTCAACAGACATGACTGTCTCTCCGGATTGGCCCTTTAAAGAAAAGGGTATAGAGGCACCTGGCTGGCTCAGTCAGTGGAGCGTGTGACTCTTGATCTTGGGGTTGTGAGTTTGAGCCCCACCTTGGGTGTACAGACTACTTAAAAATAAAATCTTAAGGGGCACCTTGCGGGCTTAGTCAATAGAGCATGCGACTCTTGAGTCCAGGCCCCACATGTAATATGTTTTATATTTATATATATAAAATATAAATTTTATATATATAAATAAAATAAAATACAATCTTTAAAAAAGAAAAAAAAGGGTATAAACTCTCCCTGTTCCCTTCCACCTCCCTGCTAGCTGGGATGCAGATGTGATAGCAGGAGCTAGAGTAGCCACTTTGGACAGGGAGGTGGGGAATCTTTATGATGAAGATGGCAGAGGCGTACCGACTACCCTGTACTTCCCACTTGTGGACTATAGAGAAACGATCTTCTACCTTGTTTAAGAAACTGATTTTTGTTGGTCTTTTTGTATAGCAGTTAGTTCATACTCTAATAAAAGTAAAAAAAGTAGATTAATGTCTCAACCCTGGTCTTCCCAGCTCTCCTTCTAGAGACGCCACACACACACACACACCTACCACATGTGACACATACCCGACCCCCATTATTTTTACCCCAGAGGTAGCACACATCCTCTGTTGTGTTAAACCTGGCTCTTTTTTCTTCACAGTACATTCTGGTTATGGGTCTGCATCAGCCCTCCCCAGCATTGGCACATTTCAACCAGTTCCATCGTATTCCATCATCGCGGGGACGTATTATAAATTACTTAAAGAGCTCTGTGGGTGGACTCACTCTTGATTCGGCGCAGGTAAGCCTCGTGCTCTGTCTCAATCAGGGGGAAGTCCTCTCTGGATGGGCACCTAGAGAGGTCACAGGTTGGGTGGGGTTGAGAGATCAGGAATCAGCCTCCTTCCTGAACATGCTCGGTGCCTCCCTGTAAGACTCACCAGCCCCAAGCCCTGGCTTCACTCACTCCCGACCCCCTGCTTTTCTTCACACCCATCATCCGAATTTCCCGGTGCGTGTGCCTCTCCATGGGCCACCTGCAGGGGTTGCACCACAAGGACGGTCACTACACCCTCGGCGCGAAGCAACCTGGGCCCAGATCCAGGCCCCACTATTCACCCGGTGGTAGCCCTCTACTTCTCATCTGAAAAATGGGTATGATGTCACTCTTCCTCACTGGCTTTTTTTTTTGTCAGGATTAAATGAAAAAACATAACAATGCTTTGAACATGGCAGAAGCTTGATACATCGATTACAGAGTATTGATTATAATTTTCACAGTGACAGACATTAATACTGTTAACAGAGAGGCCCCCATGGATCTACTGCCAATAGGACAAGTACTTGGCATGGTTTTCCTAGAACAGGCAAGGTCATACTTTGGCACGCATTTCTGAAAAATTTGTTCCAAAGTCTAAACTGCAGAAGTAAAAAAAAAAAGTTTACATGTTACAAAGTGGAGAAAATCCATTTCTAAAAGATAAAAAAATTGACAAGTATCCTGATTGCGTTTCTTTTTTTTTGGCATAATCTTCAAGAATCCGTTTTGAACGCTCTACGTGCATTTTCCTTTTTTCATCAAAAGAGACACACAGTCGAGGGCCTCAAATCCTACATACGTCCCCCAGAAGCTCGAGGTTGGCTGCCTTATTAGCATACGGAACGGTTTCCTTCTTGCCTCGACCATGGGGGTTTCACTCTAGTTTTAATGACTTCATTCCCTTGTTCATTTGTTTTTAGAAAATAACGGTAAAATGCAACATGATCCAAGTAACTGCCCACTGCCTACAGCCCGAGGTGTTCCTGCCCATGGGAGGGCCCTGCTGGTCGGCAGGCGAGCCACCATGGGACGGCCCCAAGCGTCCCTTTGCTTGCCAGCTCACGCTCCTGAGAGGTGCTCGGGGTTGTCGCGGCACAAACACACAGGATATGCCGGCCCAGGTGACCTCTCCCGCCCCGGGCCACCGTGCTCCTCCCCCAGCCCCTGCCTCCCCCTCTGAGCCCTGGGTTCTTTCCCCAGGGAGTGCTGTGGCCTGGGGCCCTAAGCTGCAGGATCCCGGGGGCCATGCACACTCACACGCGCACACTCTGCTGAATGACTCGGATCCAGGTGCTCCGGTCATCCCGGGATGCCGTGTGGACCTCATACATCTCAGGGGGTGTGGCGCTGATCAGAAACATCCCTTTCTCCTGGTTGGCGATGTCTCGCACAATTAGATTCTGCAGTGATACCACCGAGGGCTTGTCCTGCAGGTCAGAAAGGACTGACTCAGCCTGGGAGCCCTGACCTGGGGTATCTGGGTTTTCGGTCTTTCTGCAGTGCCCGAAGGACTGAAGAGACTACCTGCAATATAAATTTAGAGCCCCGGCACTGGTGCGGCCAGAGGGCACTTGGGAGCACATGTGACCTGACAAGTTAACTGACATTAAGGTTTATCAGGGCGCCCAGCTGGCTCGGGCGGGAGAGCGTGCGACTCTTGATCTCAGGGTTGTGGGTTCAAGCTCCACGTTGGGGGTAGAGATTACTAAGAAAATAAATAAACTTAGGGGCGCCTAGGTGGCTCAATCGGCTAAGCGTCTGCCTTCGGCTCAGGTCATGGTCCCGGGGTCCTGGGATCGAGCCCCGCATCGGGCTCCCGGCTCGGCGGGGGGTCTGCTTCTCCCTCTGCCGCTCCCCTGCTCGTGCTCTCTCTCTCTCTCAAATGAATACGTCTTTAATAACAGTAATAATAACAAATAAATAAACTTTAAAAAACACACACATTAAAACAAAACCTTTAAGGTTCACTTTCCTCATCGACAAACGGGATCACAGGGGGCCCGCGTCGACGTGGAAGTGCCTGCACACAGCGTTAGCTGTTTCTATTCCTCCCAATATCGTAGCGACGGTTATGCTCGTCGCCACTTGGCTCTGGGGGATTCTCGGGTTCTTTCTGGCGTGGCAGAAAAGCAAGCAGAGCCCGTGACACTGGTCTGTGCTGAGACAGGAGGAGGAAAATCTCACCAGGGCGGGAAAGATGTACTTCTGGTCCTTCTCCTGCAGAAACAGCAGCACGTCTGTCATCAGCAGCATCAGGACGTCTGGCGGGAGAGTGGCCAGCATCAGAGGCCTGCGCAGCCGCCTGCCTCGTCCTCGGGGGCCAGGCCTGACGACTCTGTGCCCGGCCTCTCTTCCCTCTGGCTGCTTCCTCCTCCGTTGCAGCCGCCCACCCGCCCGTTCCCACAGCTCAGAAACGCCAGGGGGAGAGGGGCCTGCGCGCACATCAAACAGCTTCTCGGCCGGAGAAGACTGGAGGCGGTCACCGGTGCATCCGAGGAAAACCCTCTTCGCCCAGCTGAGGCCGTTTCTTAACCGGGGGACCACAGACCCCAGGCGTGTCCACTGCTGGGTCTCGGGGGCTCTGCAACCTCCCAAAGCTGCATAATTTTACGTAGTAACATAACACGCACATGTATTTTTCCCGGTGAAAGGGTCCAGAATTTTTGTGAGAGTAAAAAGCGTTCCCAGAGCAGGAGGGGCCGCCCTTTAAATGCCATGCCTCGCCGCTGACAGAAGGGCTTTCCGGCGACCTGACCTGAAAGCCCCTGCCCGCACCTCCCGGTGCTCAGGAGGCAGGGGACAGTCAGGCTTCACAGCCATCCCTCCCACAGCTGAATAATCCCACCCCCCCTCGACCCCAGAGGCCTCCTTCACCGTCCTTCTCTGCCCCACCTTCCAGCTGCTCTGCTCCTGAGTCCCGCACTTTAACACTGGGGGGGACACGGACAAAAGGTCAAGTCCCTAAAACCCAGAGGTCACAGTCAAGAAAACACATGCTCACCCTTTGACCTTGGAGATCTTACTAAACTGTGGGCACACAGAGGGGAGGGCTTTTGCTAAACGCTTCAGAAATAAAGCTCTCCAGCCTTGCTATTTTTAACCCCCACGGTTTATATTCTTAGCTGCTGCGTGGGAGGGATGGGAAAGAGAGAAAGGGATGAAGGAAGGCGCCGGTAAAGCGCTGCCATCCCCCAGCCCATGGAGGGGGGATTTCATGACATGGGAAGGCGGGCTCAGGCAGCCTCAGGCCTGGGGAGCAGTTTCACTCTGGCCCTCATTCCTCACGCCCAAAGCCGAGGCCTGCTACTCTCTTGGCCTTGCTTTAGGTAGGAAAGACATGGCCAGTGCGATCTGGGGAGAGAGGCCGGGAAAGTGGGCCCCCCGCCCTGGTCCCCTCTGCTCTTTTCTCTCTTCTCCATCCTGCCTGTCCTTCGCCGGCTCAGTTCCCTGCCCTGGGCCTTCCTGGCTGTCTTCCCGAAGCCCACTCTGCAGCCCTGCGAGCTGCCCCACTCTAGTCCCCTGGTCCTGGAGTTTCTCTGTCTTCCTCATCAAACTCGTAGCTCTCTGGGCACGCAAGGACTCATCCTGACAGGGAAGCCCTGTGTGGCCCATGCAGTGAAATACAGAATTCGGACTTTGCTGCAACAGAGAGCTGCATTTCCCTGCCCCCGGGCCCCAGATGTCGGGCTGCAGAGAGAGGGCCCACAGGATGGATGCCCCCCCCCACATCTGGCGCTGGGCTCCCGCCTGGCCCGCCACACTGACCGCCGACCTTTGAAGCGGCCAGTTGCTGTCTTCCAGAGCAGGCAACCATCGTGGATAAGCTTGCGCCGCAGAAGCTCCTCTCGGCCGAACGGGCCCTTGCCAGGCACCGGGGCCTGGGCCCGAGGGTCCATACGGTGGTAGATCTCCTGCAGGCGGGCTCCCTTCTCCAGCTCGTGCACATCCTGGTCCACGTTGGACAGCAGCTCCTTCACCAGCCCCAGTGCCGTGGTCAGGTCCTGGCGCTCCTCCTCCGTCCCTGTGCCGAGGGCCAGCATGAGGCCCAGCTAGTCCGCTTCCATCCCGCCCCAGTTCCCACGGTGTCCGGATCCCATCGTCAGAGGTGGGCCCGGGCTCCACGGCTGACCCTGTCCTTTCCCTGGGTCACCTTTCCTCACCCCAGAGAGCCCTCCCCGCACAGCCGTGCCCGGCCGGCTCCCTCACCGTGGGAGTGCTGCAGGATCCGGTTGATGAGCACCGGGTACTTGGTGATGCGCTGGGTCACCAGCAGGATGCACTCTTGTACCCCATGCCTCTTGAGCACGGCCGAGCGGGTCACCTTCTACAAGGGCAGAGGTGGGGCTCAGGGCCAGCGTGGGGCCGGGGGCGGGGTGCACGGCAAAGAACACGGCCCTTGGAGCCTAAGCTCTGGAGACGGCCCTAACTTGGCTGCTGACCTCCCGCTGGCTTGGGTGACCGTATCTGGAAATGGGGAGCACTGTGCCCCGGGTTTACTACGAGGACCAACCAGACAAAGAAGTGAACAGGGATTATGGCTCGCTCGCAGGGATTATTGTTGACAAGTGCCACAGGGGTTGGTGGGAACCTGGCCTTCTGGTGGCGGCAGCCGCCATGCCCCCCAAGAAAGAGGAGGCGGGGTTTGGGCCACTAGGGGTGGCTCTGGGCGCGAGCCCTGCAGAGGTCCACTCACCCGGATGAACTGCTGAAACCTTTTGTCGCGGGCATACAGCTCCTTATAAAGCTTTAAGGCCTTGGTGTGGCGGCTGCAGAACTCCGAGTAGGTCTTACGCATCTGCTCCGCACTGGGACCTGAGAACTAGCAGTCGGGGTGCCGGGCTGGGTCAGCATGTCCCTCAAAGCCACACCCTACCCCCGGGACCCCCTCCGGCCTCCTGCCTCACCAGCTCCCGCCTCCGCCCCCAGACTCCGATCACACCTTTGCCCTTGGGTCCGGCCTCACCTGGGTGATGAGCAGGTCACCCAAGCGATAGATGACGAAGTTGCGGGTGCTTCCAGGGCACAGGGCCTGGCGTCGGCGCTCTAGCAGCTGGCTGAGGAAGCGCGTGTGGATGTCACTGAGCTCATCCGCGCAAGGGAACAGCCCCTGCACCAGCCCCGGCTCGAGCTGCAGCTCTTCCAGCATCCCCGTGCGGAAGAGGCGGGTCATGATCTTCAGCGTCCGCACGTGGCGCAGCTCCGTCTGGATGAGTTCTGTGGGGCGACAGCTCGTTGGACCCGACTGTGCCTTGGCCACACTGGTCGGCTCGGCGGGGGCCTCAGGGCTCGTGGGAGGTTCCTAAGGTCCCTTCCAGGGTGACATTCTGCATTGGTATGGTCTTAGATGATTCTTTAATCATGTTTTCTCTTTACGCTCTGCCATCGCAGGCTGTAAGCTGTTTGCGGCAAGAACCACGTGTCCCCTCACGTCCAGATTTCCCACATGGTGCCAGGCGTGGAAGAGGCCGGGAGCAAAGGCGGAGAGCCGACTTGAAGGAAGGGGTAAAGATGGGGCCTGGGAGACCAAGAGCCCCAAAAGGCGGGGGCCTTATGGCAACTCGTGGGCTGGAGGCAGGGGTCTTGGAGGGGGGAGCCCTGGCTGGAGGAAGGTTACAGACAACTGGCCCTGGCTAGCAAGAGCAGCATGGGTGGTCTTGGCTCACCGTAGATGACATCCTGCTGCTTCATCACCTCCTTCTTCTGCTGCTGCAGGAAGCTGCTGTCCACGGCCAAGCTCCACGAGTCGGCTGCGAAGTCCCTCTCGTCTGTCTCAAAGTCACTCATCAGCTCGCTGTAGAACACCTCTGCACCTGGACGTCAGCAGGGCCCACGGCTGAGCCCGACTCTGCTCACTGGGTCCCGCCCCGCCCCGCCCCCCGCAGGCCTCCCCGGGCCGGCCGTCACCTTCATCCATGAGGGACTCCACGGACAGGGCTCGGTTCCGCATGTTGAGGGAGTCTGTGGACTGGGACAGGATTCGGCGCAGCCCCAGGGGCGACTCGTCACTGAAGTGTCTGAGGGAAGAGAGCCTGTGTCACCCTAATGCGGGGGACAGACCCCTCCCCAGATGGGGAACCGAGGCTGGGGTCTGAGGGGCACGCACCCTGAGTCCTCCTTCCCTGTCGATGGTTCTGAGCTCAGGGACGGGAACGACCCCCCAGGCCTCCTGGTCCCCACTGCCTGCCCCCCTGGCTGTCCCTTCCCCAAGCAGAGGCTCACCCAGCGATGTTGGTGGTGGAGACACTCTTGGCTAGCGACAAGGAGGAGCGGCCGCGGCGGGAACCTAGCAGGGATTGCCGGAAGCTGTCGGAGGGGTAGATGGCAGAGCTTGGCCGCTCCCGGGGGGTGGCTGGAGTGGGGACAGCGAGCAGACAAACGTCAACGCTGCTGCTTCCCGCGATCCAGGCCTCCCAGGCTCGTGGACTGGAAATGAGGCCTCCTCTGCCACCCCACCCCCGCCGGGCCGCTAGTCGAGGAAAGTCGAGGAAAGGTCACGGTAGCGCCACCTCGTAGCGCCACCTCGCACTCGTGCGCTTCTTCTAACGCGCTCCTGTCTCATCTTGTCCCCGAAACAAGCCTATGAGCACACTGAAGCTCAGAAAGTTAGGGGACTCGTCCAGGGTGACTCAGCTGGTGGCGGAGGGACTCAGACTCCGCTCATTGTGCAGCACCAGTCAGCAGTGTGCCCGCTCCGTCGGCCAGCCAACCCTAGCCTCGCCCCCGCGGGAACTCTGCCCTGCCCCCGGAGAGGCTGGACATCCCTGAGGGGCCACCATGCACTTCCAACCGAGGGGGGAGGGCGCCGTGCGGGGAACGACCTGCGGGGGGCAGCAGAGCCCGCAGGCTGAGAGGCCTGGGGTCCCGGCCGGGGTCTCCTGCGCGCCCCCGCGACTCACTCTTACTGCGGAGGGAAACGGACTGCAGGGCGGTGTTGTTCTTCAGCAGGGCGGCTTTCTGCTGCTGTGGGATGGAGCAAAAGAGACACCAGGGACAGGTGTCGCGCATGGTCTCCCCGACGGGCTGGGGCAGGAGCTGGGCGGCCGGCCCCTCGGGAGAGAGCCGGCACCGTGGCCACGGGCATGAGGGTGGCCGAGCCCCGCGCCAGGGGATGTGTCCCGAGCAGCAGGCCGGCCGCAGGCCCGAGGCCTGGGGTGCAGGGTGTGGGCCCGCACAGTGAGGCACGCGGGTGAGGGTGAACGGCAGGGTCACCGCCCGGTCCCCAGCCTGCCGCCCGCCGCCCGCCGCCTCACCTTCTGCTTGACCTTGGTGCAGTTGGCCAGCGTGTCTTTACAGCGGTTGTGGATGGTCACGTTGCAGGCTGGGAGGGCGGGGGAGAGAGGGTGAGGGGGGCCGGGCGGCACAGGACGGGGCATACCCACGTGCACACACCCGTCTGCCCCCGGCCACGCCGTCTGGGACGCCCCCTTCCCCGGCCCTCCCCACGCCTCCTCCTCCCCCTTCCTTCCAGCAGGAAATCAGGCGAGGGGCAGAGGAGGCCATCCTGACTCATTGGTGACCTGAGGGGTGGCCCGGAGGGAAGAAGGGGTTCCTGGCTGCCAGAGACGAGCTCAAGGAGCACAGGGGTGGTTGAGAGTGACAGATGGAAGAGGACGCCCACGGGACAGAAGCAGGCGCAGAGCAGCTGGGGTGGGGGCCAGGGGCAGGGGGGCGGTTTGCACCCCCGGAGCACCTAGCACGTGGCCCACAGTTCCTTGATCCTGACAACCCTTTGGGGGTCGATTCAAGGATCTTCATTTTACAGATGAGGGGCCCGCCGCCTGGAGAGCTCAGACAGCCCCCAGCGCCCCCACCAGAGGCCAGGCAGCTAGTGGTGCAGCCGGGACTGAAACCCCGGCATGGCTGCGTCCGGAGGCCAGACTCTTGTTGCTGGGCCACACGTGCGCCCACGAACCGTGGCCAGGCCTAAGCAATTCAAAGGCTGCTGGACCCGGCGCTGGAGCAGGGACAGACCCTGCCCCGTCCTTCCCCAGAGCCTCCTGGCCTTCCCCGCGGCTCGGCTCTGACCCCTACCTTCCCCCCGCTCCAGGCCTGGGGCAAACCCACAGCCCCCACACTCTGTCCACCACGGGGTAGGAGAGGAGGAGTGGCCAGGCCTTGGCAGTGGGGCAGCTGGCTGTCCCTGTCCCCAACGTGCCTCGCCCTCTCCCTCTCCTGCTCCCTCCGCCGCGTGCAACAACAGGAAACCCTGCGACTCCTGCAGACAATACCCAGCAGCAGGCTCACTTCCACAAATACAAGGCGGGCAGGGTGGGGTGAAGGGGAGGACTGGAGGGGGCTGGGGCTGCCCCACTCCCCTAGAGCTCCCTTCTTCTACCCCCAGCGCTTTCCACCTGCTCTCAAAATAGCGCTTGCCGCCTGCCTCCCCGGTTCCCCTGGCAACAAGCTTCCCGCTGGGGAGCTCTGTCAGGTCTTGGGGGATCCAGCCTGGGGTTCCCTCTTCATCCTCCTAACTCTGAGATGGGTCGTGAGGAAGCAGGGAGACCTCCCTGGCTCTCCAGCTGCGCAGGGACCGAGAGCCGGAGCACCGGTCGCAGACCTCAGGGGGCCACAGACTGGGGGGCAGGGGCCTTCTGTGCTGGCAGGCCGGCATCCTAGGGAAGGAAGACTGCCCTGCTCAGACTCCTAAATACGGGGCTGCCCTCCGAGGTAGGCGAAGGTCAGGAGCTCCGACCGCTAACCCCCAACGCATACATTCCTGCTGTTCTCCCTCTTTCTCACGGTCTGTCTGTCACACTGGGAATCTGAGACAGAGGGTCCTAATCCCATCCTCTACTCCAAACTGCAGAGACAAGCATTTCAGGCTCCACCCAGTCAAGAGAAAGGGAGGGGCAAGGGGACCCTCGAGTCCTGACCTTCCAGTTCTGCCCAGGAAGACAGGCAGAACCAGGTGCAAGGCCGCGGCCGGCCACCGCCCCCCCTCCACCAGCAGGACGTTCCTGATCCTTCTCCAAGCAGTTCCCCTAACCCTCAGCAGCTGCTCCGGAGCCGGGGGACACCCAGCGGACAACAGCTGCAAGGGGTGCCACCCCAGCCCCCCCTCCCCTGACTCCCCTACAGCCTTGCTGTGCCCCATGGAGGGAGGAAAGGGAGCGAAGGATCAAGCATCTGGCCTGGGGCCCTGCTGGGGCTCCAGGAGAGTGACCCTATGGATCCAGGGCAGAAAGGACAGATGGCAAGGTTAGGGTCAGTGGGCACCGAGTCAGAGTGACATTCAGGATCCACACAACCTACTTGGGCAGATGAGGGCCTCCTTGGCCGTGATGCTCTTGTTACAGGCATAGCACATGGTCATGCCCGAGACGGAGATGGTGGTGAAGAGGTGCCCGTTGGTATAGCGGGCATCCTTGGCTTCCTTCATCTTCTCCTTTTCCCGGGTCTGTGGAAGGGGTGGGAGAGACAGGAAGTGAGGCTGAAGATGCCAGGTGCCCGGGGTGTCCAGAGACAGGCGGAGGGCAGAGGCCAGGGGGTGATGCCGGAAAGACACCCCTTCCCAAAGAAGGGCCTGCCGCAGGGTGTCAGAGGCAGCTGTCCGAGGGGGCCCGGGCCGGCCCCTGACCTACCTGGCCCCGGCGGCTAGGCTGCCTCCTGTGGGCACTCATCTCCCCGGCTCTAGCCCGGCGTCCTCCCTGCACCTCCCAGCCCTGCTCTGCTCGCCCCCAGGCTGCTGTACGCTCTCCTCGGAGCTGGGGGAAGATGCGCAGAGAGGAGGGGGAGCGGGCGAGGCAGAGGGTGCCAGCTCACCAGCGCTTTCAGATCTAGAGGAGTTAGCTGCTCTTATAACCATGACAACGGGTGTTGGAGCCGGGCTCCGCAGTCACAGTGGGGGGGCCAAAGAGCCCCTCAGTAGACCCGCTGGAGGCCGGAATGCCTCTGTTGCCACCCCCAACCCAGGGGTCAGGATCCCAAACCACCAGGGCCCCTATGGGAGGCTGGACCTGGCTTTGGTCTCTCCGAGGAAGGAAACTCAGCCCACGGGTCTCCTTCCGGCAGGAAGTCTGACTTGTATTCCTCATGCTACCCTCAGAAACCCGGGTGAGCTCCCACTCCTCCCGCTCACCCGGCTCCCATCCCGAGTCCTTTCTGGCCTCTACCCTCTGTCCTCCGGCTGCAACACCCTTCTTTGGGCTCCAGCCTCCAGCAAGAGGGGGCACAGAGTACCCCAGAACCTCAGAGGCTGGGGGTCCCCATCCCTGCCGCCCCGGCAGCTAGCTGTGGGTCAAGTCATTTCCCCCCCTCTTCTCTGTCCCCCAAGAGCCTGAGAGGGCGTGGGATGCCCTTCTTCCCACCTACTCCAGGACCTTCCTCGGCGGTCACCTCAGACCCTTGATGTCCCCCCAGAGAGGGTAACCAACAGGACAGGGCTGGCAAGAACACTCCCCACCCCCTGGACTTCCGAGCTTCCCAGGAACAGAGCGGGATCCAGATTGCTGATGCGGAGAGCAGGAGCCCCAGGGTGGGGGACACTGGCTGGGGCCCTGGGGAGAGCCCTCGGCCTGGGCCTGACTTGGCTCCCCCACACGAGCAGCTGAGAGGCTGGTGGGGAAAACCACACTGGGCTGGTGCTAGGCGGGCACTCTGTGCTCTGGGCAGAAAAGGGAAGTATGCAGAAGCTGAGTCAACAGTGTGGGGGCCAGAGGGCGCTGGGCCACAGTGCCCTGAGGTCTCTGGGCGGGGAGGGGGCGGGGAGGTCCTCTCTCCCCTGGCTCCAGGCAGAAGCTCAGAAGCTCCAGCTTTGTCTGCTGATAAGCAAAGCCTGGAGGTCTTAGGGTCTTTCCCCACTTCCATCCCCTACTTCTCCCCTCTCCTCCTCCTCTTCCTATTTCCTAGTCTCCTCCCCTCCCCTCTGCCTTCCCCTTCTCACCTCCTCCCCCAGTGGCTTCCCTTACTGCCCATGGCCTCTCCCTCCTGACCTCCCCCCCTACAGCCCACTCCCTCCTCCCCGCCCAGGCCTGGTTAGGGAAGCCCAGCCTTCCAGCCCCAGCCTCCAGTGTTCCAGGCCTCCTTCCTTCTACTCTGGTACCAACCTATCTGGCCACTAGAAAATTCTCCCTTTGGTCTAACTTCCATCTGTCTTGTTCCAAATTATAGCTCCTTAGAAGATCAAATCCCCTTCTGAATGACGGGGGACCTCAATGACCAGGTCCCAAGGTCTCTCCTCACCGCCACAGCCCCTCTCTCCTGTCCTGCACTCCCAGCCTTCTCTAGGACGCAAATAACTCGGAGCTCTCACTATGCTTGCATTGGAAGCATCGGACCAGCCAACATGGAAGAGAACACGTCTGGGTCAGGGTGAACTCCAGAAGGGAGGTGCTGAAGATCGGCCCTAGCTGCTCCAAGTCCCCCCCCCCCCCCCCGCCCTCGGCCTCCTGGAGACTCACCTGGGAAAGAGGGGGGAGGAGGAGGGAGGGCGGGGGCAGCCAGAGCAAGAGTGTCTTGGGCCCTTCCCTCCCTGGTGTCCACGGCCCACAGAGGACCCGGGGCTCTGGGCCCAGTCTCCCCTGCTCCCCACACTCAGCCTCTCGCTGAGGGACCCCCCCCGCAGCCGCAGCCGCAGCACGCCCCCCCTCGGCCACTGCCCGGCAGCCACGGCCCTGGCACTGCCTAGCGCTATTGTCCCCGCGCAGTCTGTGCCGGCCCCAGTGCCCGGCCGGGAGGATGGATGGACGCAGGACCGGCCACGGGGGCGGGGGGGGGTGGCTGCTCCCGAGATGCAGTGAATGGGCTTTGCTTGGTTCTGTCCTACTGTCTTCCAGGCATTCTTAAGATGGTCCCGCTGGTCTCCTACGTACCTGCCCACCTGCAGGACAGCACTTCACCTCCATGCCCCAAACCCCGCAGCGAGACACGGGCCTGATGCCCAATGCACACCGGCCACCCCCACCACTCCGAAGCCCTTCCTGCCCAGTTCAGTCCTGTCCTGCCCAGCCAGCGTCCAGACACTCCTGCTCACAGGGCCTCACGGAAGCTTCTCCAGCTGCATCAGGAAGCGGTGAGGAGGGCGTTCAAAAGCACCTGGCTCGGCAGCCCATACAACAGGCAGTCGGCGTGCTCTTGGAAGGGAAGGCAGGACGGGTGGAGGACGGACGAGGGACACAGGGTCCCAGCAGCACCCTCGCCCTGCGCCATTAAAACCCCGTCTCCCCATCTCACTCCTCCTCTGCTTTCTATGAGCTTAGGCCCTGGAGGGTTTCCTCCGGAGGCCAGAAGACGCCAACCCAAGCCTTCCCTCCATTGTCCTTCTAGATCTTGGTCACTTTGGGGAAAGAAATTCGGGTGAAGGGCAGAGGGCACTGTAGCTGGCGGCCCAAAAGCTCCGGGGCAGAGGCAGTCTGCCCCCTAATTGGCACCTTACCTCCCATGTGAGAAACATGGAGAAGGTAATGCCAAAGCCTGGCTTCCTGGGCTCCCCGGCGGGCAGCAGGGATGGCAGAGCCCCCCCCGGAGGGCCAGTGCCAGTCCCTGCAAGGCCCAAGCTCTCAGCAGTACCTGCTCCTCCTCAGGGACGTCCACACCAAGACCGCGGGGGGAGTCACGAGGTGCTCAGAATCACCTCTGCTCCCGCTGAAACTCACAGCAGCCCCTTCCCCAAGATGCTGAGGCCTCTGCCCGGTGACCAGAGGGCCCCCGAGGGTCCCACTGGGGTTGCACTGGGATTCAAGCCACCTGCGGCTCAGCCCCTGACCCGCAGGGGTGCAGTCATAGGCTGCGAAGGGCCCTGAGTCCTGGGGATGAGCTTTGGGCTGGGAACTGGGGGGGGACAGTGGGTCCCCGGCCACGGGACTGAGAAGAGGGCTTGGGATGGCCTCAGCCAGGCTCTGTTCCTGCATCAGCTTCCAGGGACAAGACGAAGGCAGCAGGCCAAGGAGAAGGTGGCCAAACGGAAATGCTAGCACCAAAGCCAGAAACAAACACAAAAAGGCACCGCTGACACACAAAGGCACTTAATAAATACTCGCGTGATGAATGAGGATGAGCCCCAGACAATGGGGGTGGGTGCACTGGCAGGCAGAAGAGGGGCACTAAGGGCCATGGGGAATAAAATCAGGCCAGGGGCCCTGAGACCCAGGCATCCTGGCCCCCAGCCTGCCCCCTGCCCGGCCACACCTGTCAGGTCAGGAGAGAGACAGCAGAGGGGCGGGGGGAGGGCGAACAGACGGGCATTTGTGCCGGCGAACAATAGCTACCAGGACTCCCTGCCCTCCTGGCACAGGGCAGGCCGGCTGGCTTGGGAGGGGGCAGCTGCTGCCGGCACCCCTCCCCCAGGAGACGCAAACAAACCCAGAAGGGTCCAGGCAGCTCCTCTCGTCCATTTCTCTTACCAGCTCCAGACGCCCTGACCTATCTGCTCGCTCAGGCTCCTAGTCAGCCCTCAAACCAGACACGGAAGCTAAACATGGAACTACTTCCAGAAAGCACGAGCCCCTAATCTGGTGACCACCACTCAGAACAGTGACCCGGAGCATCTGGGGACAGACAGACACACACACCGGACACAGGTCCCACGCGTGCATGGGAGTCACACATTCACATCTGTCCCCTCCCGGATCCAAGGTCGGTTCCAGGCCCCTCTCTCAATCCTCTGCTGAGCCCAGTCGGCCCTTCCCCAGACATGAGCAAACCCCTGCAGCACTCAGTGACTTGCCCCCCTCAGCTCCGTCCCAAACCTCCATGGCCCCCAGCATCTCTTCCTGTGCCCCTACAAGCTTCAACCTCCTAGGGACCCCCAGTTCCTGCAAAACTTCCTGGCAAACTGCTAGGCCTGCCAACCCCTCCCTGCTCGCCCACCCCTCCTCTCCAGCTCCGCTCCTCTCCCAGCCTGTCCTGCACACAAAGCCAGCCACCTCTCCTTACTCAGAACAAAGAAATCGCCTCTCCCTCTCTCCCACTCCACCTGCCCCACACACTCCAGGGTCGGGGTCCTGGAGACTCCACGGGGACCCCAGCCTCCAGAGCCATCCTGGAGGTGCCCGCTAACCCTGCTCCTAGACAGGAAAGGACCCTTTGTTCTGAGAGATGTGAAGGTTAGGATTTGGGGGAGGGGGGAAGAGCCGGGGGCCAGAGGGAAAGGGGCCTGTGGGGTTTGGACCTGGGAAGGTAGGAAGCAGAGCAGAGAGAATGAGGAGTGGAGAGGAAGGGGTGACAAGATGAGAAGCGTGGGGAGGGGGCCACACAGTCAGCCTTGGTGAGGATGGGGAGAAGGGCTATGCTCCCCCCAAATTTCTCCTTCTCTAAGGAGGCTCCCGGGTGTCAGGCAAGGAATGTGCCAGGGGCGTGGGCTCAGGGCTTGGTCTGACCCATCCTTCCAAATAGGTAGCAGGGGAGACCATCTTCCTCAAATAATCTCATTTCCAGCAGGGCCCCCTCTACTTCCCACCA